GTGTCGCGGAACGTGCGGTGGGTGGAGGGGGTGCTGCGGGGCGGGCTGCCGCGGTGTCTGGTGAGGCGGCTTGTGGCCCTGCGCGGCGAGGATGCGGAGGTGGGGGAGGGCGGGGCGGAGGGAGAGGACGGAGAACGTGTAGGGGATGGAAAGCATGAAGGGGACGGAGAGGAGAGGTTGCGGATGGCGCTCGGACGGCTGGTTGCGTGCGCGGGGTTCCGCGTGGCGGCGGGCGGTGCTGAAGGTGCGGCGGTATGCGATGCTGGACGTGCGGCGGGGGGCTCGAGGGCGGGGGGCGGCGGCGGCGCTGGGGCGGGGAGCAGCGACGACGCGGGCGGCAGCAGGAGTGATGGCGGCAGCAGGAGTGATGGCGGCAGCGATGGTGCGGGTTCCAGCCGGGGCGACGGCGATGGCGGCGTGAAGGACAGGCGCGAGGACTCGACGGAGCAGGCGTTGCTCGACCACGTGAGCCAGCCGTCGGACTTTATCACGGGCGGGGACGACGACGACGAGGGCGAGGGCGAAGGCGAGGGCGAGGGCGGCATCGACGACATCGACTTTGCGTACGTCGACGAAGCGGACGAGTTCGGCTTCGGGGCGCGCGAGGGCGGCGCTCGGGGCACCAACACCAGCACCAGCACGGGCAAAAGCACAAGCAGGAGCAAAGCGGACGTGGCGGAGTGGAGCGCGGCCGCGCAGGCGAGGCGCGCGAGGCGCGCGGCGCGGCTCACGGTGTACGACATGCGTTTCCTGTGCCGCGCGCGGCAGTGGGGGCCGTACGTGCCCGCCGCGGCGCTGGGCGGGCCACCGGGCGACAGGGAGGGCGAGCGGAGGGCGTTCGTGCGGGAGGTGATGGAGGTGATGTTTGGGGCGGACGGGGCGGACGAGTATGATTATGAGTACGAGGAGGGGGACGAGGATGCGGAGGCGGAGGCGGGGACAGACGCCGTGGAGGAGGACGAGGGCGAGGAGAGCGTGTCGTCCGGGGCGGTCGTGTATAGGGGGGATGAGGACGACGACGAAGCGCGCGCAGAGGAGAGCGACGACGGGGCAGAGAAGCCAGCCCTCTACCTCTACGACGACTCCTCTGACGCGCACGAGAGCTACTCGGACGACACCGGCGATTCCGACGACACCAACGATGTCGACGACGCCCACCTCCCAGGTTCGCTGGACGACAAGTGGCGCATCGGCTCGTGGGCGGGCACCGCCACGCTCCCGCTGGCGGCGGGCCTGCGCCCCGACTGGGCATTCCTCTGCGCCGTGCGCGTCGTCGTCGAGGCCAACATGCGCGAGGCCGTCGGCGCGCGCGAGCTCGGCGGCCTGCTCGCGCTCGATGCGTTGCGCACAGGCAGCGCGCCGCTCGACGCGCGGAGCGACGGCGATGCCGCGTGGTTTGCGGGCGCCGCGAAGGCGGGCGCGGGGTTCGCGGACGGGATGTGGGACTGGGCGGGCGTCACCGGCGTGTGGAGGCCAGTCTTCGTGTCTTCGTGTGTTCTGGCCCGCTGACGCGTGCGACCGACAGGCGGTGTGTGTGCTGGCTAGACTACAAGGATCTGATACGTGCGTGACCCGCGTTTGTGTGTCTGCCTGCTCACGAGTGCTCACGGTCGCGCAGGGCTCAACGTACGCGCCCCATCCTTTCTGCGCTCTTTGCGTGACTCTGACGCTGACGCGCGCACGCAGATCGCCTCGGACAAGGCGCACGTCTCCGAGAGCACGCTGCGGGAGGCGGTGCGCATCGTGCCGCTGCGGCTGCGCGTGATCGCGCACGGAGCCCCTGCGGTGCCTGCGTGGCCCGGGCGGCCGACGCTGTACGTCGAGGGCGAGACGAGCGGCTCGAGCCAGAACGGCGCGATACGGCGCGTGCGCGGGACAGTGTCTGCGCTCGCCGACGGGAGTGCGCGGTGGTCGCTTGGTCTGGTGAGTTCCCGCTTCGCATCCGCGTCCTGCCCCTGGTATGCTGCACGAATCAGGGGCTCTGAGGCGCGGTTGCAACTTGTGTGCGTTGCTGGATGTTCATACATTGTCCGTCATTGCAGCTCGGTGCGGACGACGGACATGAGCAGTGGATGAGCGAAGGCGTGCAGCTGGGGGGGCCGTCAAGCAGCATGGGGGTGCTCGGGCTCTGGACGGGATCGCAACATGAGCGAACAGACCCAGTCGGTGAGTACTTTCGAGCGTTGCACCCTGAGGGGCGAACACACTAAATATGGCCCCACGTAGGGCCAATGTGGACTTGGAAAGTCGGCTGACCGAGAACGAATATCTATTGTGTCATTTATCGTCTTTGTTTGTGCGACTGGATTAGGATCATCTTCTCATTGCTCACATGCATAGATATATACAGATTGAAGGACTGGGTAATGTTAGGGGTTTATATAAATCTCCATAGTCGACACATTCGAGGAACTGCAAGGGTGACTGATGACGGTAATATTGATGACGCATACTTTTACGACAATGAAATTGGCGTACAAACGTTCCCCGCACGCCTGACTTTCTTCGATTCAATTGCGAATCGCTATTGATCCATGCGAAGAGCGCGCCGAGTAGATGAGTTAACCTGATCAGGGTATCTCGCGACCTGCAAATAAAACTAGAAAACAAATGAGACATCAGTAAATGCCCGATCGCTGGCACTGACCGGCGCCTTTCTGCGGGCTGAAGGCAGGTCGTCCGGGGGTTTCCGGAATATAGATGCAGCAGCTCACTCACTTATTCTTCACGCCGTGTCATTTGAGCGGCTCTTCAGCTATGTCGCGAGCGAATATGGCGTCGGCGAGGGTGTTATTGTGCAGGATGAGCTCAAGCGTACCGACATGTGCGATTGAAGCTGTCATATCAGGTAGGTTTTCGATGCGTGCAACGCTGCTAGCCCCACATGTAGAACGCTGCTTGCATTGCTCGTCTCTGTTCTTCGATTTCTACCCGCGCTTCCGTATGACACACTGCCTCTACATAACCTCATATTGAAGCCCTGACATGGTCCGCAAAATCGCGCACGCGCAACACCCGTCGACATAATCAACATGCTTACAAGGAACGGCAGGGGGAATGTACTTCGCACAGCTCGCTCTCGGCCAATTTGTCTGCGGATGCATCGCGACTATGAGCGGATCAACTGATAATCCCGTAAGCATATCAGTAATGTCTGCATCCATAACTGAATGACACCGAACGCCTGAGTTCCACCCCTACGATTCGACGGGAACAGTCTTTGACTTAGCTCCGATCATGGTAAGTGGTTGGATGAACCTTTATTCCACAACTGAATATCGGCAGGGCTGGCTGGGGGGAGGCGCTCTTGTGGACATTATTATCGCCGTCGCAATGTATATCTTGGTGTGCTGACACCCCTTCAGGTGCAGCGAAATGTTAGGCTGACATATGCGTTCCAGCTGCACAAGTCGCGGCGCGGTGAGAGAGAGAGGCATATCCTTCTCAATCGTTTGATCAAGCATATCGTGGGCAGCGGAATAGTCACAGGTAATTATCTTTCTCCGTTGGAGGTTGAATGACTGATGATAAGAATATAGTCGGCAGCCGGGGTTGCATTACTAGTGCTCGTGCTTTATATTTACAGCTTCTACGCGCATGCAGCGCTCGCGGACTGCCCGTAAGTCTCACAACCCGTGAAGTCTGACGTGTATGCGCTGAGTTTTCTTTCACAAAGAATCCTTGTACTCCCCAAATTGTGAGTCGCTCCATTTTCCCGAATGCGTCAATCTGAGCCATACTGCCTAGATATGCGAACACTGTGCTTATCAGCCTCAATAATCGTGACCTTGTGCGTCGAGGAAATGAGGGGGAGGAACATCGAAAACTCTGCAGGGATCTGTCCACAAAGCGTCACGGCTTATTGAGCCGTCTGCGCCAGATGCTGTCACGATCGACGAGTAATCGAGGGTCACTAGCGGTAGACCCTTTTGTGCTGGATAACCTACAGGGACCTACACAGGACAGCGTCAGCTTCCAAGAGCCACCTTTGAAAACGGTCAGTACAAGCATTTCGTCTTCATACTATTCGTCCCTGACACACACTTGTACAGAATCCTCAAGGAAGCTCAAAGTCCACAGAGATAGACCCATGCGCATGAATCATTGACAATCTTCACTGCCTTTTTATCACCCTGCTGAAACTGTACACGTGCTCTACAATCTCTCATGAGGGATCAATCACGCTCTATCGAGGAACCAGGAGCTTCATGTCTTGTCTCATTAACCGGACTTGTAGTATCTCAGCCTTTATGCAGCTGGGCATAATTAGTATGCGCGTTGGTAGCGTGGTTTCTCAGACGTAGGTGTGATTCCACTAAGTGACAGGATGACATCAGCGCTTCAGCCTTGTTAACGTCTTCCTCTATGACTTGCCTTTGTGTTGAACAAATATGAGCATCTCCGTAGAGGTGGAAACGTGAGCTACCCGAATGCCCATGAACTCGGGATTAACCCGTCTTCCACACACACAGCACCTGCCCGGGTTTATTCCTCTTTCGCCGTACATTGAGTCGTTGGCACTCGAGTGCCCTGCCCCTCACCTTTATTTCTCTCACCCTCGAGCTCCCTTCTATCTCTACGCCCTTCAACGCCCATCTCACCCCACCACGAAGTCTGAAAAATACGGTGCCTCTCCCTCCGCAACACAGGTTGGAGAACAGTTCTTGTGCTGCGCGCGGCAGTGGGGCGTCGCGGAGCTGGACGGGCGGGCGGTCGACAGGGAGGGGGAGCGGAAGACGTCCAAGTTCGTGCAGAAAGTCCTGGAGGTGATGTTCTTCATTAAGGTTTAGATTCAAATAAACGATAGGGTCGCTCTGGTAATTAGAGTAGCTCAAAGTCTGTTTCATTTTGTCAGCCGTGCAGTTGCCAGCCCGTGTCATGTTTGCCCGCGAACACTTGCGGCGGAGTCGACAGGTGCATGGAAGCCACATACCTCGAGTCGCCAGGAGTAAGTAGCATTGGATATAAGGGCTATCCTGTTCTCAGGTGGTGGGTTTCCCCGATTGCAATCCCGCCCGCCTTTTGGCGGCCCACCGCGAGCGCTGGCACCCCTTCCGACCAGATCTCAGATCGCCGACGCCAGATCTGCATCTCACGTGCTACTTCCTCGGACTCCCTCGCCCCCAACGTCCTCGACTTGTTCGGCCATGAATAGGACATCATATGCCATAGACACAGGGCACGCTGGCCGACGACTTGCAACAGTTCTAGCATTCGCCTGTCAGCCATATCCTCTTCACAAGAGCTGTCCCACGACTTTCGTCATACTCGCAAAACCTCCCACATTACTGCATCAAATTGTCTCCATCGGCCAACCACCTCGCATATGACGCGTTCGGCTGCAGAAATTCTGCATGTGGCCACCAAAACCAAGCAATCACCATCCAGCCGCACCACACCCGATCCGTGCCACTAATACCCAGAGGGTGGAGTCTCGTGACGAACGAGTAGAGCGATGATGACTTTTCCGGAGATTCTCCTGCTGGGAATTTTTCAGGGCTATCGTCAATCAATACCTCTATTGTAGGAGAACACAAAGCACAAAGTATTGTTGGATCACACTATCCTTAGCTTGCACTAATGCGCCTAATGTGGTCTGCACCGTATCGCGTGAGGATAATCTGTCATTCTCGGTGGTACACGTCTGATACTGTCACCTCCTTGCCTTGGAAGCACTTGCAATAGACGCCCAGAGCAGCCAATGACCTCTACAATCCCATACTCACCCTCTGCTTTGGAAAACGTCCCACTTCTCAGCGCTCGGCCAGTGATATTATAGCAATATCCACGTATCCAGCTTCCTCTCTCTGCTGCAGAGATCCTCACTCACAGGAACATCACCGGTCAACATGGGAAACACCAACTCCATAGCTGAGCAGGACGCAGAAGACGATCTAAGGGAGCTACTTATCGCTACGGGACTGCGTGAACCAACCGGGAGACCTTCACGGGATCCTCAACCCTCAGACCAGGCGGCAGTACCATGGGCATCCATGCCGCCCTATGGTTATGCCCCCGTCACCCAAAGCGCTATGCTGCCGTACCAAATGCCTAGTATATGCTGTAATCACGTTCGATGATACTGTTGCTGATGCATCGATAGCAGGCGCGTACCCGTCATACTTTACGCCGCCTTCGATCCTTCCCCCGCCAAGCTACCCCGCCATAGGATGGAATGCACCGCCTCCCATGCCAGGTGGGTGGCCGGTAACCCCAAGTTTGCCTGTGGCATATTATAATCTCACTCCCTATAATGCTGGTATGCCTTACATTGCTTCATCCTCTCCGTACGGTCTCCTTGGTGCTCCAACGCATTTCCCAATGACACTACCACCGAGTCCTTATACCACGTTCGCGCCCAGTCCGCTTACTACATTCCCGACTGCTCCTGTTCGCATGCGTTCTCCTTCTCCACCGCCAGTCATTCCTCCCCTTCCAGAGACCTACACGCAATCATCAAGCCCTAGATCTATCTTATCGGAGATCCCTGCAGTGGAGAATCACTCGCGCGCTTCGCCATGGCGCACGTCCGAGCCTGTCTCAAGTGAACTAGCTATGCCCCAAATATCTGCTTTCCCGCAACCAGAGAAGCCCCGGCACATGTTAGCCTCGCAGCCGAGTTTTGACTCCGAAATCTCGATTTTCATCCCACCGCACCCCAGCTACTTCAGGGACTCCCCCGTGCATCATGCTACTTCTACAACAAACGCAAGCGTCCATTCAGCAGTGCCGTTCCATAGACTACACGAGGAAGCACCAGCCGAGTCAGTTTCAGCGACAGACCTCATTGTAGAAGAAGCCACTCGTTGCGACACTCCCGACAACAGCCGAATTGCAGAGAGAGGACGTGCAGGTGAGCTTCCTTGCTGTCTCCCTTGCGTGTTCTGACGAATTCCCAGAGGAAATGTCACTTTCCATCGTTACCCTGCAGTCTGACGATAGCCTCCTGCTGCGTACTGTTGGTCTAAGACCAATAGTCGATGCTGAATCCTCTGACAACAATAGCGCTCTGACGGAGATTATCGTCGATTCTCCGCCTTCAACAGCATCGAACCCTCACGATATGGATGTCCGCTATCGTCGAGTTCGGTTCTCTCCCCTGGCAGGTAATAGTCTGGATGACTCGGGAGTTTCTGATTACGCCTCTGAGACATCTGACGACGTATCGCCACCGGTCACCCAAGAACAAGTCGATGATCCCGCCGAAACAGACGAGGATGGTTTCGATTCTGTTCCTGGTTCGCTGTTGAGCTTCCGAACTTGGCCGCCTGTGTCCTCTGGAGCTAGGCGCAGGCTACGCCCGACTTACAGAATGATGCGTGCTCTTGAACGTGGAGTCTACCCGGGAAATGCCCTTGGGATCTCACTTGAAGATGGCACGAGCATGCTCTCACAGTATGCCTCCGACACCAGCGAGCTTTATGCAGAGGACATTCGATACGGTAACATGAATCCACGCCCAGAGGTTGGGAGTCAGTCGAGTGCAGAAACCATACGCGTGATCCCATCCACACCTCAACTTTCTTCTTCTTCGACACAGTTCTCCCCCGTCATCCCACCCAGACCTCCACCATCCTCGTCTGCAACAGCTTACACATCCTTGTCCATGCCATCGTCACCGCAGGGTTCAGAAGCCGAATCTATGGCATCACCAGCTGCATCATCGACGATGACAGACCAGGAGTCACCGTCACCCGCCGGCCCTTTGCATGCAAGCCTCACAGCGATGACAGGATTTGTCATCGGCAAGCGTTTTCGAAAAATGTTCCGGACACAACCCAGTGCGAAACCGACAAGCGAAAATGAGGCCCTCCCGCATAGATCGACTTCTTCTTCAAAAATGGATCGCCAAATTGGTATATGCCGCGGTCGCAAGAGCGATATCCTCGCCTTGGATTCCTCGTGGGATGATGCCCGTCTGTTTGTCGAACTGGGAAAATCGTATGACAAGCTCCGTGCGTGGAGGAAGTGGCTCTCGTTGAGAGGCTTGAAGTGAGTAGAGCTAAATATCGAACATGGTGTGGCGGTGACGTTAGTCAATCTAGGTCAATCACTTTGGTGGTGAGTGATGATTTTGCTGCAACAGCTGACGTTAGGACAAGCAGTCATACCAATCATCTGATAGGTCGACGCCGACATAGAAAAGATCATTTACCCATACCGTGTTGGACCTACCAAAGTCACAGCGCACCGTAACATGCGCCTCCGGTGGTACCTCGAGCATCCAGAGAAGCTGAAAGACAAGGACGAATTTGTGCGAATCGTGACACAACACCCTGGGCTCGGCATCGAGTTTGTGGAACGATGGCAGCCATCACGTATTACAATTGTCATAGCTACCCTCGTGACTCTTTCTCTCGTCGTTGCGTTGGCATACAGTGAGGTCACGGGAGATATCGTGACTGGATTTACAGTCGCTGGTATGTTTCTCATTGACACTGTACCCTATTGACTGACACATGCGACATAGCCTATATGACATCCGCGTACAGCGTATGCCTTGTACTTGTCGGCGTAATGAACCTAGTAGACTTCTAACACAATGTTGCAACAAGAACCCATCCAAAACATACGGCATGCAGGGCTGACGAGTGTACTGTGCGACGCATGATAACATGCAACTCATGACATGTACAAAGCCAAAATTGAAATGCCTTAAGCAAGCGCATATTGTCGTCCTATCACGATCCGAGATCACCTGTTGTCATGTCCGCGCCGGCTTCGTGGCTCATTTGGACTCTGCACGTTTAGCTCATGTGTACTCGTGCCTTACTGAAAGCCCTGCCCTCTATTACCTGACATAGCCACCAAGTCACTTGTACAATGTTCCGACTTCTCGACTAAGTACTTACACCCATCAATCACTTCGCAAGCAAGCTGTCACGAGTTGGTACGGCGTCTAGCCGTTTTTTAATTTTTCCTTTTCGCGGGCTCGAACCCGCGACCTCTGTACTACATACCTGATATGGACGCATCATATCTACTGTACGATTAGATTAGATAGGACGGCAGTGCGCGGCACAGCTCGGGCTCTGCTGACACAGCCTCTCTGACTCACCGGCCCCCGGGGCCGCGTCAGCATGCTGTGCACGGACCAGCTGTGCACGGACCAGTGCGCACAGCCTGCCCTTATCTCCCCATGTATATAAGCCGGCCTCTGCTGCCCTAGGGACCTCAGTTTCGACCTCTTGTCCCTAGGTCAGTAAGCTCCTGTATTCTCTTACCTACCTTACACTAACTAATACATTTTCTTGTCCCTAGCCTTAGGTTTGAGCTCTGCTCACCATCGCTTCGGTGAGATCTAGTTGGACGCCCCCAGCTTTTAGGTTTTCCCCTGTCGCTTGACCTCAAGTCGCGACATTAGGTCGAAACTCCCCATAGCTGCCGGCATTCCTCGGAACACCAACACTCACTCTACACTTCCTACAGGTTGGGTGGTGCGCACCCTTACTATACCCTACGATACATAGATAGCATACGATACATCGCCACCACTTAGGGAACGAACTCTTCAGTGATACAACGGTCTACACTCCTATTATTGATGCCTGACTCGTAGACGACGAGCGAGGACTTATGGACAATGCGTCGTCCTGAAGATCGAGCGAGGAAGTCGAGAATGACCACTACCCCAAGCGAAGAGGAGCAGAGACTTGAATGAATAACCAGGTCGAACTTAGGGTTCGACCGACTAATGGTACAACTACTTATACAAGTACCGACTGCGCACGGACCATCGTGTCTATGTGGTCGTGTTAGTGAAGAAAGAAACGTAGTGGTACGATATCAGGCACGAAGTGCGCACGGACCCCATTATGTAAGCTACATAATGTTCAACCTGCGGGTGAGCGCTAAGACAGGCGCCAGTATGGGCGCTAGTAGTACAAGGAATAGAACGGAAAGACAAATGTTTCATTACCCCCCTACCAGAGTCGAAGTCCCATTCGACTACTTACTGCTCACCATCTCCATACAACTCCCAATCTACGCCGTCGTCCTCCTCTTCGTCGAACC